CTCTAGGCCTTTCTCTCTTTTGCAACTGACCGCATTCGTTAGATTGGATTTCCTAGACTTGTCCGACAGAGGTTTTTACCCGGCCTATACGGTATGGTTTTTCCTTTGTACATAGCTGGAGCGGGTCCGAGGAGCCTGTTAGATAGGCATAGCGGAGTAGGAATAATAATAATAATAACCATAAAATATCTTTTAATAGAGTAGATATTATATTTATACTTTACTACTTACTATTAGAAGTACAATGATTATATAATTATATATAGTTCTCATACCTGTATAGTAGTAGCTAGTATTATATAGTACTAATTAGTACTACTAAGTTAGTTATAGTGTCACGAACAGACCTTACTGGCGGCCAGGCATGGTCACAGCCGCAGCGCGGGGAGCCGCGGCAGCCAATCACTCAACTAACCAATCAGAATGGATCACTAGGGAAGGAGAGTGAGCCAACATAAGGATCACTGGGATCACGAAGTGAGCCAGGTGAGCCAGCACAAGGATCACTGGGATCACGAAGTGAGCCAGGTGAGCCAGCACAGAGATCACTAGGAGCAAGGAGTGATCCTCAAAGACAATCATTAGTATATTAGATAGCTAGCTATTCCCTTGGAGGCCCTGCCAGAGGTTCTCCAGTAAGCAATGCAAGCAGTTGTCTTTACTACTGTGTGAACACTTGCTTGTGCACTTGTTGTAGACCCTTTGGCTCTACCGAACCTCACCCCGTCTAAGTCAACCTTCAGTCTGAGGAGTCCCTTTCAGTGGTAGGGGACCGAGATTCGTCACATATAGTTACTATAATCAGTAAAAGATAACAAATTTTTTAATAATAATATAGTCCCACTTTTTTCCTGTAGTACTAGGTCTAGTACTCTAGTATAGTACTAGTATAGTACTAGTACTAGGCTAGTATAGTACTGAGCCCATACTAGTAGTACTAATTAGTACAGTACTAATTCCAAACCCTGCTTGGGAGTTGGATGAAAGCGACTTGAAGCGTCGCGATACACAAGGTAATTCCGACTTTCTGTTGGCGGAGGAAACGGGCCCGCTGAGTGTTATTTAACGTTAGCGACCATATTCTGAATCAGGGTTAATTCAAGGTCCTGTTCCCGGGACTAATAAAGCTTAGCAACTAAGGTAGGTAGCTTTATGATCGAGAGTAACCTGTTTAGGTACTGACAAGGGTCGCGACAACCACCACGTTCAAGTTGTTTCTACTTCACATCCGGGCTACTAGAGCTGATGTTCAGAACCAGCCCCCCAAATCTCTTATATTCCAGTTCCCTCCATCAAACATCCAGCCTTAAGCACGGGTCAAGACAAATGCTGCAGTCCTGTTCCTGCCGTCGTTGGAAGAGTCTTGCCAGTTACCCCTAATCTCGTTCCCGTTCAGTACCCCATTCCAAAACCACGCTTGGCCCTGCCACTGCGAATCGTATGTCTGCCGCCACGAGACAGCGCCGTTTGCGCCAACCGTGCCCTCGACGCTGAACCAGGCGCCGTCGTTGCCCTTGCCCTTGAACGAGGTGCCGACGGTGAAGGGCTCAACGGCTAGAGTGAAGGTCTTGGAGCCCCCGGTGGGATACCAGTAAGTACCGCTCCAGGTGCCGCTAAGCGGGGAGATGGGGCCGCGCGGTCCCCGCGTTACGGACCAAGTGCCAACGCGGTTGCGACCGTCGGCGGGGGAGTCGTACCACTCGCCGCTGAGGGTGTTGCCGTCGGCCGAGAGGGTGCCGCGGTGGGACCAGAGCTGGCCGGGCCAGATAGACTGGTACTCCTGCACGAACGTGACGATGGTGGCGCCTCCCTCGCTAGCGGGGAAACAGAGACCTGCTTTGACGTTGAAGGCACCGCGAGCCTCGCTGCCGGTGCCGGTGAAGACGGTGTTGTTGGCCGCCTTATCAATGTTGAGGCTCATGTCCCTCTTGGAGCCATCGGGGTAGGCAAAGTACCCATGCCATTCACCAACAAGGGCTTTGTGGTGTCAGTAATCTGCGATTGATCCACGGTCTCATGGATAACTGAGGACGATGTTGTCCAGTGCTTACCGGACATGATGGCGTAGATGCTTTTTGGAAGAGTTTGGAAAGTGAAAGAAGAGAACCTTGCAGGTTTGGAGGATCTTCGGGCTGTTTGGCCTTGGATAAAATCGAGGAGAGTTTGACAAGCTAAAGGCCCTCTTTATATACGACTTGGAGACATGGACTCCCATCAAACTGCGACACGGAAGCTAGGGCTATGAGCACATGCAGACTACCTAGGGGGACCTACCTCAGCTTTCCGTGTCTCGTGTAGACAACCTTTTCGATTGGTTTCTTCTTACCTCTCAACTAGAATGCTGGAGCACTCAGCTAGAGACGTGCAGGTGAGACAGCGCCTATCCGAGCACTCAGCTGGAGGCGTGCAGCTGAGATGGAGCCTATTGTAGCCTCGTTTGGCTACATGCATGCATCTCACTCTTTTGTTTTGATGTCGTGCGGTAGCGCTCAACATGTTATTGGGCCCCTAGGTATCATCGCGCTGCACTTGGCATATGTAGGTAGTGAACGGAGGCTGCATGTGGTGGAGATTGGAGAGCACATCGGGGAATGGTCCGGCTACCTACATGTTCACAGTTCCGCAACGCAGTAGGTATAATCCAATGAACAAACTTCGATCTGCCGTGCGCAGTCATCACCCAACCTCCTTATAAGGCCAGATGTAACCTCACATCAAGTGTTTCATCACATGTTTATGAATGGCCCTAGGTAATACAGCTCGACGTTCATTTTTAGGTCCATGGCTGGCTCGCCGAAGCTGCCTCGAATGCACCAACTCATCATGACATATACTGTCAAGCCAGCAGCATACCGACGCCGCCACTCAAAATTTTATTTCTAGATGATAGTTTTGTTGATCCCAAGACTTGGTTATGACCTTCGACACCACAACGTCGTGGTGGCAGTTCTGGACTGGAACCCAACCTTGTGAATCTCGGTGGGTCATTCACGGACTGGAGTCAACGCTTGCACACGCGTCTAAAGGAATGGTGCCAATCCCCAACGCTATGGCAGATGATTGCTGCCAGCGCTCCTGGCACTTGCCTGACCTCTTATACCGCTGTGACGGCGAGAATTGGTACCGGGACCGTTCTAGAGAGCGAGATTATAAAGCCAACGGCAAGTATCAGGTATCTCGATTCCCTCGGTCGGTTCAGCATCTCGGTGGAGAGCTTTAGTGTTTTGCTAGCAAGGGAGAGCCGCTATAGAAGATGGGAAGCCCAGGCGTACAGAGTCACCCTAGCAGTGTAAACCAACCCAGCGTGGCCAGCCGCTGCGGCAGTACTACTACAGAGAGTAAGGAAGGGTCTAACATGTGGTCTGTCTTATAGCATTGTGGTCCGGCACGAACTGAAGTGCCTGCCATTATATGAACAATATGTACTAGTAGCCAGCCGGAAACATCACGTTAACTACAGGTCCCATAGGTACCTATGTAGTCGTTACGGTTCAATTTGCTGGTGCCGGACTTTCAACATTCCCTTTACTTGACGTCGGTAGTGGTGTTTGTCGAGGCAACAATCTGCCCAGTTGGCCCAACAGCTACTACTTCGCTATCGGCTAAGCAATTCCCAAGGTCATCGATGCGAGTGCCATATCGATTCGAAGCAAGCCTAGATTTCAACGCACTCTGCCAGAAGGTAAGATTGTCGCCCTTCACACGTAACCCCCCGGGAAGAAAATGGGAACTAGCGATGTTCCTACTGTGGGGTGAGTCTGCTCAACTCTCTTGAGAACGGCTGCAACCCGCTTATCGCTAAGCGTCTCGAGCTACTTGAGATGGATTCCAAGTGGACTCGATTTACGGCTGGCGCCAGCCGCGTGGAGGTTCTAGATACCCCCAATGAGGCCAACACAGAGGAGATCTTGAGAATCAGTATAGGTCCAAGAGTACCTAGGTAGGGTAGTATGAAGACGGATTCCCTTACACTATGAGTTCTCATTCAGGCCGGCAACGACAACCAACAATACGATTTAGAATAAGGCGAGGACAGCCGACGCAACTCTCGTAAACATGCTGGGATTTGCTGTCCGGGTTCCTACATGTATGGCCAGGATATCCAAGTCGAGGCCGACGCCTTTCTTTCCAAGGATGACGATGGCGTGCCGGCTTGCCGTTACCCTGGGTAATGGTCACCATGGCACCGCCCTTTTGGGTGCAGGACCACTTCTCCTCACTCTTAGCACTGCGGCACTGAGCCGTTGTGGAGGGCCAAAACTGTGCCCGCTGCTGTTACAGGGAATATGTCCCAGTCCCCGCTCGCAATCCAAGGGACGGCAGAAACAACGAGCTGGATGAGGATGACGACGATGCCGGAGAACCAAATCGCGTCGAGGGTAGGGCCTCCGTGTGGGACGGGCGGGTTGTCGTCGCCTTCGTATACTGTCACCCTGAGGGCTTCCCACTCGGGAGCTAGTGCAGCGGTCGAGTTGGGGTCTTGGTAAGCTGGAGGAGGACCTTTATGGAGCTCAGCGGTGGAGTTAGGGGGGACGTGGCTTTGCTCCTGTTTCATTTCCTCGTCAACGCGATCATCTTCGCTCGCAGAAGACGACCAAGAACCCAGCTCTTGGTCGTCCTGCCGTGGCTGCTCACAGCGCCGATGACCATGGTGTTAGTCATATCCGCGTCGGGCATGAGCCGACCATCTGACATCAGTGTTAGTCGTATGCTACCATTTGAAGTGAGCAGCTTAAGGTCAACCGGTGGGGGTTTTCCTTGATGCGCGGATACAACTGGGGTCCTCCTGACGGCGACAACTACAAGTACGATCTTATGTATTGTCGGACCAACGCGTTTAGGTGCTTGGGGATGGTGTTTTGGGACAGAGACCGGGCCGAGGAGCTGTTGACGACCAAGGCTCTGGAGGGGTGCAGCACCGGCTGGCTTTGGTCGTACAGTTGCCCTTGGGATGTCGGTAATGGGACCGGACTCGGACTGTGAGAACGTGCAAGCATTCGTTTTAGTTTCCGCCTCGAATCCCAAGAGATAAGCACCTATCCGACACCTGCCATTACCCCGTACCCAACTATCCGCAAGCCCTAAGTATCTAAGCCATATCCAAGACGCCTGGTATCATCAAAGATCTTCCGCGGCCCTGTTGTCATGATCACTCTTCTATGAAGGTCGTGTTTTATATTGTAAAAAGTTCACCTGCAGCACCTCGGCGATACCCTGCAGGAGCACGTTGGCCGTGCTGTCCTTGGCCAAGTTCTTGTCGACCGTGAAGTGGCGCATGAACTCGCCCTTGCAGTCGTCGACGACCCATGCCTGGCCTACCAGTCCTGGATACCCGTTGGCATCGTTGCACGGTATTTCCTGTCCCAAGAGAAATGAAAAGTTGGTCGACTGTGCGTTCGGCTAAAGGGAAGGGGAGTCAAGGAACACACGACTGACGCCGAGACTTACCACGATGTTATTCCCGTCCGGGTTGAAGTCGTACCGGATGTACTCGGAGAAGGCCCTCTGCTCGTGGCTCCATTTGGTCTTCCACTGGCCGCACCCGGGATACCTCTTCTCGGTCGTGCACTCCTGCCAGGCCCGCAGCATCGCGTGGCTGAGGGGAAGGTTCTGCATGACGATGACGCCCGTGTTGAGGACGGTCCGCCCCTTGCTGTCGGCGCTGATGTTCTCCTTGCCCTCCACCATCTGCCGCGTGTCCACCGGCAGCGCTACCGACGTGACGTTGGGCGCGATGTTCCACCGGTTGAACAGGAACTCCAGGGGCACCTCGAGGTGCTGGACGATGGTGTCGGCGTCGATGAAGACGACGAACCGGTAGGCGCCTAGGAGCTCCTTCAGGACGTGCGGCTTGATCCAGGAGTCCCAGTGGTCCTTGATCTTCTTGGCTTGGATGAATCTGTAGTCGTAGCCGTGGATTTGCGCTTTTCCTCGGGCATGTATCATTAGGATAAGGGGCCCTGTTCGGAGATTTGTAGAGCAGACTTACAGTAGAGGAAGTGGTTGACATGGGCAACGGTCAGCAAGCCAGGTCCTTCCGCCTTCACAGACTCCCAATCAATCTTTCCGGTGCTGGATATCCCATTTTCCCCTCCCGGGTCACGCGTATCCATATCGACAATCAGGACCTCCTTCCTCAGAGGCTGGTTCCAGTATTCTGCACCCCCGACATCGAATTTCTTGCCACGCTGGTCGGTGTAGGTCCTTGCAGTGACGGGGAGCTTGATGGGCTCGTAGAGGGCGGAGATGGCTTCGCCCAGCCCGACGGGGCCTATCGCGCCATTGCCATTGCTGTAAGCAATGCCAGTGCTGTCCCGGACACGATCCGCGAGGGAGCCAAGGATCCCACTGACCCAGGCTGTGGAGACAATAAAAAAGAAGACAATCAAGACAGGAATAGCGATTCTGAGATTGCGCTGGGCGCCCGGCGGGAACGCCATTGTGCGCGAGCCCTGCTGCCCTGATGGCACCGACTCGAGAGAGAAACCCGAGACGATGACCGCAGCCTAGGGAGGGAGAACACTGACAAGAAAAGCGCAACAAGAAGAGGACTCGGATGAGAACAGTACTCCGTACCATCACCCCTAGGGCTTTTGACCACCGTCAGTAAGCGACCACTCCGCCACAGTGGCCCACATATCCCCCTGGACAGAAGCCATTGCCAAGGCTTCGGTAACAGAATTCAAATCCTGCAATATGTTCTGTCCCAGCGAAAGTTGCTGGTGGTACTTCGTACATACGCACCATTCAAGAACTCCAGCCCAACCTAGCCAGATCTTCGTGGTGTTGAGGCTTCCTGTGCTACAGTTGACTTCGTCCGTTGAATTGGCTGAATTCGCTGCAATCGCTGATTTGGCTAGAAAACGCGATGCTGCTGGGGAAGATGACTCCTATACTGCCAAGGTTTGGCGTGGTTGTAACGTTGGGGGCCGTATGCATTAGGGCCGTAGAATCTCGTATCCTGCTGCGCCATGGAACTGTGGACACCCTCGATATGTAAAGGCAAGGCAGACTGAGGCTTTGAGCCATGACTCTATTGTAGCAGTGCAACCAACCGTGACCGGGTCGTGTTGCGATTTGTTCTACAGTGAGAACACCGGATGATCAGCCCGGTGTAAATCGTCTGGCGGAGACGTTGGACCAGCGTCGTCGCAAGCCAGTGCGCACGCGAAGCAACCCTTGGGCTCTTGGCCAGAATGTCATCGTCGGGATCTTTCATAATTGGTGCACTGGTGTTGGGGGTCTTGAAGAGAACAATGACCTTCGACATGAACAATTCCAGGGCAGTCCATGTGACCACGTGCCATGTGCCGTCAGTGCGGTGAAGGTTATAGCAGGGCAGGGGCGCAAGCCCCACCTACGCCCACTATATCTCCTACGCTCTAGTACATGCCTATAACCTATCTTCTTCTTCTTCAACAATATATAGACAACACAACTATATATAGTTAGCAATTCCCTAGATCCATTTAATTCCTTATTACAATATATAGCTTACTCTCGTTATACCCAGAGTTGGGACCTTGCTGCGACCTGCTCGCCAACCTGTTGATGGAGTGTCAAGACAGCTTGAATGGTAGAGTTGATATGTAGCTAACATCTGGACTGCCTTAGACCGTTTCCGTATAAGGAAAGTTACAAAGTGATCTTGGCCGGATTCGCTGAGGGCCGCCTAACTGATTGACCGTGGTGGTGTGGAGCTTGGTAAGTTAGGTGGTATTTGAGCAGTCTGTGAAAAATGCGTGTAAAGACAGCTAGTTAAGTAGGCGGTGTAAAGGCGGTGGGCAGGGGACAGTTACAGTCAAAAACCAACAAGGAAGGCGGTGCGAAGGCGGTGAGCAAGAATACTCAGGATGGCTAATCTAGGTAGGCGGTGTGCTAGGCGGTGGGTTGGAAGAGTAGGCTAATCAGGAAGGCGGTGATTGTCCTTCAATGTCTGACGTATCTTGCGAATTCGGCAGTGTCCTTCGTGCTTGCCCGTGCCATGCCCCACTTCTATTGGGGATTCACGCCTTGGAAGGTCGTAGGCCTGTATTCGTCAGGTGTGATGGATGACACCAGTTACTCACATTCAAGACGAATAGAGCGCTCGAAATGATTAGAAATTGAGGGCTAGAAGGTTTTAGAATGCTACTGAAAAGGTGTGAAGACACCTCAAACCAAACAAATAAAACATGGGAGGAACACGGTCGTAGGTGTAGGACGAACGTGTCAGACGTGTCAGACGTGCCTGTCATAGGGCCATAGGCCACAACAACAACCAAAGGATATTGACAAGATTACCCTTACGCTATTTATCCTTACGGGTGAAACGAATGGAAAGTAAGGTTTCCTGAGCTCTGCTCAGAGGAGATGAGTATTCAATCCAGTTCAGCTCAATGCGGTTCAGTGCAATTCAGTGCAGTTCAATCTTAATTCAATGAGCAGGGAATGCTTGACTAAACCTGTCCACGCGGGACGGGGGGAAGTAACCACTACTTATATGCCTACCCAGGGCAACGCAACGCAACCGTAAAAAAAGAACGCAGTGGCTACTTTGAGCAGGAATCCCAGAGTTAGGGGTTTCAAGAATCCCCGTTTCACTACAACAACTATAAGTTAAAAGAGCTCCCCAGACCCCTCCTGTGGCACGCTATGATAGGGAAAAAGAGAGAGAGAAATTGAGAGGAGAGAGATCGGCACTAACTGTCTGTCGGGAACGTCATAATTAGAACACGTCCCGACTCACAGCCAGTGGCAATCGTAGATCCCGCTACGGCCCAACATCTCGGCCGATATCCTGGAGGAAGCCACAGCCAGTTTTCCGAGTCCCTTGTAATCCATCTGCAGTCCGAGCTTATGCCATATTGATAGGGGAGCTTCGCGTCACCTGACCAGGAGGCAAACAACTTCAAGGACGTGACATCATGCGAACGGCTATGCCCCGCGAGCGTCTGCGTGCATGTGCCC